TTCCATTAGTTCCTGAACTGCCAGCCTTGAATCAGTGTCACAATAAGATAGAAGGTGCTTAAGTCGTTGCTTATCTGTCCAGCCATAACTGAGTCCAAATAATTCATACTCGTCCAAGAAGTCATTAATATGGAGCCCTCTGAAACATGGAACTCTCTCATCTAGTCTCTTTTCACTTGCAATATCTGACCCTCTTTTTATAGTGTCCACTCTCTCGACCAATTCCCGTATAACCCCAACCAGTGCCTCTTCATTGGTCCCTGCGGAAGAACTCGGCCTTCCTCGTTCTGCCATCTTGACCATAGCCTTTTTCAGATATTTTCTTTTCTCTCCGTCACTCTTGTCCTCTCTTTCCTTGCCCCTCTGTCTCTCACTCTTGTAGCAAGGGACACAGACTCGTTTCTTTCTTCTCTTGTCTGCTCTACCCCTTGAGAGTTCTGTACGTATAGGGCGTAAGCAATAACTGATTGGGTAGAGATCAAGGGCAGTGCAATCCTTCTCAACCTTCCAATGTAATCTTCAATCAACTTTCTCTCATCATCCCTACTTAATCTTCTGTCATACCCCTTTGTAGTACCCCGAATCATAAAATATCGCATTAGGTCTATAATCTCATAATCAAATTGCATCGTTTACAGCCCACTATTGATCCTTCTTGCAAGAGAGACCCATTCCTGAAAAGTATGACATGATGCTCTTTAAGTAGTTCTCACTTTCACCACCTTTAACAGATAGTTTATCTCAGTCTGGTCAGTGATAACTCTCAAGGCAGAATCTCTCATGCGATCTAAGAAAGGCTGCAAAAACTCAAGCTCATCTAAGGTAGAAAGGTCCCTATCAGAGATTCGAAGAGTCCCCTTTACCTTGATTACTCTACCTTCCAACACAACTCCTAGTGTTAGTTGTTCAGTCAAGCTGAACATTGTTTATCATTATAAACAATATCAGACAAGTAGATATCATGTTGGACAGAATTAGGGATCTCGAATCTGTGTTCAAAGGTATTCAAAAGTAGGGATTTTATCACCACAGTGGAGTCTTTTTCTCTTTCTCTACCAATCTCAGCAATAGCTTCCAACAGAGGCATCCAATCTCTCCTGTCTTCAAATCCCTTAGCAATTGAGAACTTAGGGAATCTTTCAAATTGTCTTACTTCCTTCCCCCAGGGTACTTTTCTCTATAACTTTTCAAGTCATTCCTTGGTTCTTATGAGATCAATATAAGCACATGTCTGACACCTCAAGTAGTCATCTTCCTTTCCTAGGCCTGCGGGTACATAAATCCGTACTTCCAGGCTACTAGTACTCAAGAATTTGACCACTGGAAAGTGAAATATTATGGGCCCTCTTAGATAAGTCTATTATCTCAGGATCACAAAAGGATTATCACACCCTTCCGCCTCATAGAGTTTACCCCTCACAGTAGTTACCCTGGCTACTGAGAGTATTCTTCTTTGGCTCTCTTCACTTTCCATGCAAACTTTATCATGACATACCAATTATCTTTAGATAGATTGATATCAGGTAAAAGAGGGACAAGGAGTCCATCAAAGACAGTAAACCGAGTACATCCAGTGAAACATTTGTTATCTCTCTCAAGCCTCTCTTTCTCTTCCTGTACTACCTCTTCAGCAAATCCTCCTCATCTCCCATACACTGCATCAACACTTCTTTCTTTTGGAACATAGATTCTCACATCATACACATTAAGATCCATAAAAATAATGTCAGTACATATAACCGTTTCTGCTCCCATCCGCTCTTGACCATCTCATATCTGACAACCTCATATGGGAATACCCCTCTCTTACTTAAAGTGTTTAGTGACTTTAGGAGACACTCAACCTCCTCTTGACTTGGGCCTGAACCTCTGCCGAATTTTTGCCTTCTCTGTCTGATTTTTTCTGTTGAAATCTCTTTAGTTCTCATGTCCACTGTTTATTTTCTCCCTTGTCAATACCATGTTGATTATCGGCAGCCAGTTAGTCCCATCACAATAGCTGTCTGGTATAGAAGGAATCGAAACAGTCTCATATGTCACTGGTATTAAACCCCATCTCACTTTCTTCTTCTGCTTAATTAGTTCTGTCTTCTCATCATAAAGAGACTGAATTGCAATTTTCCGTAGCCAGTCGAAAGCCTCACCATCGTCACAGACTCCTTTCTTGACATAGGGACGGATATCATAAATATCTCCCTCCAAGAACGGAGTCAGCACTACGCTGATGGCCAAGTTGCCTGAATGGTAAAACCAACAATGCTCATACTGATAGGGAAGTATTCCTTTGGTAGTTACTTTAGAGAGTTCTCTCAATGCATCAGAAGTGAGCATCCTTAATGAATTCCCCGTGCCCTTGATTCTTTCTTTCCCTTCTCAGTGTTCAAAAGACATCATAGGCTCATGAGGCATACCTGAATTCAAGTATGATTCTCTCCAGTCAATAATATCAATCTCCTTTCTCCGGTCCAGTGCGATACCTCATACAAGGAAAAAATAAGACACAATTAACAGCTGTGATTCTCAAGAGACTCGGAATCGAGACTCAACGAGAATAATAAAGTTAACATAAAGCTTATAATATTGTCAACAGTTCTCACGCCCTAATCAAAGCTTAAAGATGATGATGATGACCCAGGCTTGTTCCGGACATGAAAATCTTCTCATTTCCCCGGCAACGGCGCCATTTTTGTCGCACTTTTTCCAGTCGGAATGCTTCAGGCGACCGGAAAGCCAACAGGCTGTCATGCAGAATTTTGTATGTCATTGCGATAAATAAAATAAATAAAATAAGCAAATCCCTTCCTGTTGTGTGCGTCCAGCTTCGAGCGAGACTCTTCAATTGCGGTCTTTGTCGGTCTCTGGTCTTAGGAATCTTTAATTGTGATTCGGAACAACAATTATAATACAGATAATAAAAATTAAATTAAATATGCCATGTGTGTATCAAGATGTCAATTTAGGAATTTGAAAACTGTGACACAATCAGCAAACGAGAACATAACCTTCAAGCAATGTCAAGAAGGAGATCAAGACCGACTTACTCAAGACAAAGGCAAGACGATTGAGGGAAGAATGCGAACTCATAATAATCTCAAAAAGTACATCAAACAAACATGGTCAGCACCTCTCAAAGAGTCCTCACTCGTCCCTCTGGTCAGTCTATCTCAGAGCATGACCATCCGAGGTACATGAGATTGAGGCCTCGTGACAAAGAGCCACCTGAAACCAGCAAGCTCTCAGCATGACCATCCGAGGTACATGACACGGAAGTTAACCATGGAGCAAAACTCCTCCCTCAATGTAGCCAGCCCGTCCACGGAGAAGACTCCTCGCCTGAGGTATGGATACTCGGTTGGCTCTTTCAGTGCCTCAATGTCGATCACCGCAAGAGAGATATATCTCTTTGCCAAGCTAATCATGTCTTGCCATCGAGTGCCATCAGTGAGAAGGGAAGGAACAAGAGGCGTGGGATAGTCAGTACAAAGCTTTGGCCCAAAGCTGCGGATCAGCGTAGTGCCACTTTCATCGAGCTCCCTCTCTCTCTCTTCGAGGTATTTGGTGGCTGAGATCCAAACTGGATCGAAATGCTCATGAGCCTCCTTGCCCTTCTTAAGATAGGGCCTCAGATCGAGGATAGTGCCGCCACCGAAACAGGTCTGGACAACGAAGATTGATAGATCTCCTTGTCTGAAACTAATGACACTAGCATACTGATAACGAAATGCCTCTTTGCATGAAATCTGATTGAGATTGGCCAACACTGACTCGCTGACTCGAAAGGATTCGACTGTATTCATGAAAAACGAAGTCTGTTGTCTGCTGATTGCTGCTGATCCGACTCTTAAGTTGATCGCTAAACTGATTGCTGGATTGTTGAATTAATTGCTGGATTGCTTGCTGAATTGCTGAACTAGTTGCTGGATTGACTACAGAATGTCTCGATAAATGAGTTGATCTCAAATCTGATTGCCTTGATCTAATCTGCCTCTGACTGATGCATGTCTCTGATTGCTCAACTCTTTTTCACTGATGGCCTCTAACTCTCCTCGCCTCTTCCACTGAGCCCACTATGGAGGAAGTGGCCTGCTGACTCCCATAAGTACCGTAGATATGATAGGTGTACTCAATCTCTATCTGACTCTTTACTATCGCTAGAGCGTGTTCTCTCATGAGGGTTGTTTGACGCTGAATGTTGTTGAGTTTTGCTTATTGAGAGCAATATACTGATGATTAAGTTACCCGTTGCTTGCTAAAGAATGCCTATTGCCGTTCAAATCGACTGTTCGTTGATTAAATGCAGATTGAGTAGTGACTGATCAGCAATAGAATAATAATTGAGCAACAGCTAAGTAGCAACTGAATAATGATGAAGCATTGTTTCAAGCTCTGAATACTGCCCAAAGTTCTGCTCTGAGTTCTAAGTACTGCCAAAATGCTTTGTCCGAGTTCCGAGTACTGCCAAAATGCTCTGTCTAAGTTCTGAGTACTGCCAAAATGCTCTGTCTGAGTTTTGAGTAGTGCCAAATCTATGGCTCCGAACCGTGATTTACCATGTCATATCACCACAAGTGAAGACAGGAAGCTGTGGGAGAATGCCAGCTGTTCAGGTACTAGTAGAAATCAGAAAATAGTAATTGGTAACAGTACTAAGCTCATGCAAAATTTGCCCTGGCTTGTTCCACCGTCTCCACAGATAAGAAGGTGTTGTGTAACCGGCCGTCCAACTTGTGGAAATAAACAGTGTATGATACAAACTTCTGATTTCTCACTATTTCCAACATCCTCTTTCTCATCAGCCCCAAAATGTATGGAACTCTTTTCATGACTTTTTCCTCCCAGTCTCCCCTTTTGTCCAAATGGAGGGTATAGGTCATCCTCACCTCGTCAATGCTTTCCATTGAATATCGTACCCCTCTCATAACCCTGTCTCAGGTTTGCAGGGACAGATAGGTATGCAGAGAGCTGTTATCTTCCTCACAAGACCTGGTCGTGGTGTTTTCACTCGATCAGGACATTGATTCTTAGTCATGCCCCAAATTGAACCCTTAGGGTACTATGGGGAATAGTTCAGTAAAATGACCAACTCTAGAACTTGTTGTTTGAAAGTTTAAATAGAACCGTCAAAGGTGAAAGGGGTCTGTACCCCATGCGAGAAAGTGGCCAAGGTGGAAAATTTCTTGCTAGTTTATGGGCTCTGATGGTGTACTGCCTGCAGAGTCTATAGTTGCTGACACTCGGGCAAGGACTCGTTTGATCTGAACTTTTAGCTCGAAGGCAAAGACTCTAAACCCAAGGTGAGCCTGGGCGCGCGTTGGTAAGCGCTATTGAATAGTCTATTCACTCTGCACCGTTAGTTAGAGCATAAATGAACATCGTCTACTGGGCCAAACGTACTCCGCTCTAAACGAAATTCCGTTATAGCCAGAGTCCAGAACTCGAGTCTCTCACCTAAGAGCTTAGTCTCCTGGCATTTAACCACCCTGCACTCACGTTTCATGAACAGGTAAGTACGAGGGCCCTGAGAAAAATTGCTTTAGTGCTCACGCTGTCACCGACTATATAGAAGTCAACTGAGGCAAAAGTTTTCAAGAGAAACAAGAAAAGGAGAGTGCAGGCAACGCTTCACCTCACCCTGATTAAAGCCCTGGCGGTTATAATGAGGTGCTCAAATTACTTTTCATTTGAGTCGGACCTTACCCCAGTTCAGGTAAATGGACACTTAGTCACCGTCAAGGAGGAATTTAGCGAGGACATAGGAGATTCTTTTAAGTACTGATTTTCTTCCCCCCATCCAATCAAAGGTCAAGGCATAAAACACAGCCAATGGGGATCATTCCTACAGTCCCCTTTTGACATACAAGCCTACTCAGTAAACCCCGAAGCAGGCTCGCATAATCGACCATATGGCTGCCTTCAGTCATCAAATTCGCGAGGCATTCAGTCTACTCGCACAGGCATTTGCGGGCCTTCACAGTCACGCACGCGGTTTATCTCAGGGCACAATCAATCTCTTACCACTGTAGACACCATTTGATCAGGTGAGCATATGCAGACCAATGCGCTCACAGCTTCATGCTGTCACTCGAAGTAATCGCGCAGTGTGGCCCCACGGTATAATCACACAAGCAATTGCGTGGTGTAGTCACACAGTGCATTCACATGGTGCGGGAACACAAAGCACTCCCATAGTGCATTCACGCGGTGCGGGAACACAATGCAGTCACACAGTGCATTCACGGGGTGCGGGAACACAATGCAATCACACAGTGCATTGACACGGTGCAGGAACACAATGCAATCACACACTGCAGGAAGAGAAAACCCAGGACCCTAACTGCATTTGGGATATCCGTCTCCACGGGATTTAAACGCACATTATGAAGATTGCATACCCTTCAGCTTTGCTAGGTAATCGAGTGAGCCACTCAAAGCATGTGAAAACATACCAACACCAAGAATACCCACCTTTCTCGCCCATACTAATCACTCAGACCCCGCACATTTTAGATCACTTTTACGTACTAAGGCTTTCCTTGTTCCCCCATTTAGTGAGCCTGCAGAGACATGAACCTTGTCTCGATGCAGCACGATCAGTTAGCACTGATCGTTCTACTCAATTAGACAATTTTACATGATCAGTTAGCACTAATCGTTCGAACTAGTCAGACAAATTACATGATTAATTAACACTGATCATCCAGGCTAATTAAACTAATTAAACTAAATAGAAGAGGAACTGGATTAATGAAAACAAAATGGGATTATTTCCTAGGTTACCAGAGTGGCCCGGGGTCACTTGCMCGGCCGGGCCAAAAAAATAAAAATAAAAAAATTATTTTTAGTTTTTAATTTTAATTTTAATTTTGGTGAAAAATTTCGATGTGACCCTGAGGCAAAAGTTGTTCAATTTATGTTTTTGCATAACATAGTTTGTTTTCGGATTTTTTGGATCTTTTTTTTTTTTTTTTTTTTGCGGGGACCTCTTTGCACGGGCTGGCCACCCGGACCCGGGCGGCCCGGCTGGAAGCCTTGATTATTTCGTGATAGTCAACATCTTATCTGAAGACTCGGCCAAACGATTATGGAGAAGCGCTTCAACAACCCTTGATAATGATGTCTACTAATTCTCTTAGTAGGCTGACAAAAAGGGTAGGGACCCCTCCCTTGTTCCTCCACTCTGAGTTCTTAGGCATTCTCTACTGCACGTGCATAAGGGGCGGAACCGAGTCGGTTAGCACTTCCGAGAAGCACTGTCTAGCTCCCTGACCTCCGCCAACACTGAAGCAGAAGCTCGGTAGCAGCAGCTCACTCTCGCAAGTTTGCTGGTTCGGTTGACTCCTGTTTGGTGACCCATTGAAGTTCACGCGAAGATGACAAGGCAGGTGATTGTTTAGAGCGAGAGCACCAATCCGAGTAAGCGAGATCGTCTTTGATGGGAGAGAAAAGAGAGCCCTCCCTCTTTCCACTCACACAGTTCTGCCCTCGTGTCACTAGCTCGTAGCAGTAATAATCAAGGTAGATGTGACGAGTCTCCCTCATCAACGAGAGCTATCTATAGAAGGCGCGCTGATCCCTTTTCGATTTACCGCTTCCATGCTCGTTCTCGGGCAGCTCTTAAGCCATCAAGACCTCTTCCCTGTGGTACGTAATGCCCCAACTAAAGGAAGACACGCGGCGTCAACAACAGAGTACAGCGGGCAAGTTGTGCTCATACGCTCCTTTCCTACCCAATGGCTAGCGTGTGTAGCCTCTTGCGTCTGGGAATCAGAGTTGGCGTGATCGCCCATAGAGTTTTCCCACTTTTTTGCGCACCCACCTTTCCACTCTTTTTGCTCTCCTTCTCTCTCTCTCCCTTCAGTCGACCGTAGTAGGCTCACTCATACGAGCGCATAGGTGGCCGTTGACATTTTCGGTGCTGAGCGGGCTCGTCTTCCACTCATCAGCAAGGTCACCCTTTTCACAAGCCCCTCCTCACTCTACGTGCACTCTAAGCTTCACTCCAGCGTATCGGTAGCTGTTGACATCAACCACGCTTTCACTCTCTTAAACCTTTTCTTTGCACCTCTCCCTCAATCGTCCACCTGTCGAGTATACACGCTTCCCCCGCTTTTTGTTCTTTTTAGTCCCGCTCACCAGGGTTGTCGACCCCCGGACCCGGGGCCCCGGCGGGGGTCCCGGGGGTCGGGGGTCGGCACCCCCGGCCTCGGCTTT